TTACTGCTAAAGAAATTACTTTTATTTGCTCAGTTTAGAGGCCGTATGTCTCTTAACCTCTAGGTGGCAGTGTTGACTAGGTTAAGAGCTCTAGAGTTCTCAGAAGAATGTATTATATACAAACTAAAACGTCAACATGTGATGCACTTTACCTTGGTGGGGTCGATGATGCCCTTCTCCACCATGTTGACGAACTCTCCCAGCATGGCGTCGTAGCCGATCTCTGCTGATTCCTGGAGGATCTTCTCCACCACCAGTGAACCCTCCACGCCCGCGTTCTTGGCGATGGTCATAGCGGGGATACGCAGCGCCCGCCTGATGATGTCCACACCTGATTGGATGGAACGGAAGCAGATAAATGGTAAACTTGAACTTATTCACAAAACTAAAAACATGTTATCTTTTCAGGCCCTTTAACTCTCGTTAACTCGCTCGTAATTATTGGGACGGACTTTAATTTATAAGCGTAATGAACTGAGGATTTGAAAAATGTACAACTTCTAAATTTGGATTTTTGTTTGAAACCAGTTTGAAACCTGCTTTTTTGTAGCTTCTCGTGTTTTCATGTAAAAATAGTAGTTAGTTAAGAAAACAAAATGCATGAACACACCCTTAGTCTACATGAATATTTGCTTTTTAACTGTTTAACTTTAAATTCTACATCTCAAGGTGTGACACCCCCCCCCCCCTTAAAATCCACACTGATCTCTCTGTGGAGCCAAACTTCTGAAATCTGTCATAGCAACAAACAACTTATTATTTACTACTATTAAACAAGAGGAACAGAATGTTACAGTTTTAGTTCTGAGCGTGTGCATGTGTTTCACTGACCGATCTTCTGGTCAGAGTTGGCAGGTTTGATGCTATCGAGCGATGGGATGCAGCGAAGCAGAGCGCAGCCTCCACCTGGTACGATCCCCTCCTCCACAGCTGCCCGGGTGGCGTTCAGAGCGTCGGTCACACGATCCTTCTTCTCGTTCACCTCCACATCACTCGTTCCTCCGATCTGAAACAGGAACAAAAGGAATCGCAACTTGTTCTCAAGAGAAACACGGTGGCGGTCGTCATCTCGTACTGTCCGAACGTCCGATTGAGACGCACCTTGAGCACGGCGACTCCGTCAGACAGCTTGGCGAGCCTCTCGTTGAGTTTCTCCTTCTCGTAGTCGCTGGTGGTGCTCTCAAGCTGCTCAACGATCTCCAGTGCACGTTTCTCAACCTCCGCGGGGCTGCCGCCTCCCCTCAGCAGCAACGTGTCGTCCTTGGTGATCTGCACCTCACCGACTTTCCCGAAGTCATGAGCCTGGATGTCTTCGAGGGTCAGACCCAGAGCCTCATCCCCGAACACCTGCAGAAAGGAAAAGAGAAATAATTTGAAATAATCCAGATAATTTAACAATATTACAACTTTTTTTTCCTTTTAGGGAATTTGCTTTTAAAGACTTCAGAGGTTGACTTACAGTGCCCCCAGTGGCGACGGCCAAATCCTTCAGCTGGTTCTTCCTGTTGTCTCCGAAGCCCGGGGCTTTAACAGCGACCACCTGAAGCCCAACCTTCAGCCTACAAATCAAGACGTTGACATTTCATTGCTTTCGGTTTCTTAGTCAAACACCTGGAGCATGAGCGGACAGCTGATCTCTTAAATGGGATCAGTAAACAAACAGGACGAACCTGTTGAGGACCAAGGTGCTGAGGGCCTCTCCATCCACATCCTCCGCCACAATAACCAGCGGTTTGCGGTGCTGGTTAGCGATCTCCAGAGCTGGGACGATGCTCTGGACGCTGGAGATCTTCTTCTCACTCAGCAGGAGGTAGGCGTCCTGGAACTCACACTTCTGACCTGAGAGAGCGAAAATGGTGTTCGTTACCGAGTCGGGTGCAATAAATTATGATATAAACCAGACGACAGTAGGAGAATCTTTACCTTTGGTGGTGTTGATGAAGTAGGGGGAGATGTAGCCACGGTCAAACTTCATCCCCTCGATGATATCAAGCTCATCGTGCAGCGTCTTCCCATCCTGAGACATCACAACAGATTATTCACCAGTTTTAAGTGACGTAACCTCAAGTCTTGTTCCATCCATCAGTGACTGAATGTGGAAACTCACCTTGACGGTGATGACTCCCTTGCGGCCGACTTTCTTCATGGCATTGGAGATGATGTTACCGATCTCCACATCTCCATTGGCTGAGATTGTAGCGACCTGAAAGACAAAATTCATTGTTAAACCTGATCAAGTTAAAAAGCTGCTGCTCTATTTTACACAAGTATAATTTTTTTATTGCTAAATATCGATAGCATCTGTTCCCTAAAGTCCACATCACTCGGGCTCTACATTGAAAACTGTTGTGTACCTGTGCGATCTCCTCTGGTGTGGTCACCGGCTTGGAGAGCGCCTTCAGCTCGTTGATGACGGTCTCCACGGCCATCATGACGCCACGGCGGATCTCCACCGGGTTGGCTCCTTTGCTGATGGTGTCGAAGCCCTCCTTGGCGATGGCGCGGGCCAGCACTGTGGCGGTGGTGGTGCCGTCACCGGCCTCCTCGTTGGTGTTGTTGGCCACATCCTGCACCAGCTTGGCACCGATGTTCTGGTACTTGTCCTTCAGGTCGATGCTCTTGGCCACCGTTACTCCGTCCTTGGTGACCTTGGGGCTGCCCCAGCTTTGCTCGATGATGACAGTACGACCCTGAAACGCAGAAAGATGTTAAAGTTTGATGGAAAACCAGTAGAGACGATAGACAATTATTCTCATTTCACACAAGTATGAAAGATTAAAAAAAAAAAAAAAACAGTGAACACAAGAGGGCCTAAAATGATTAAGCTATTTGAGCGTCTTTAACTTGCATGAAAACACATGTATCACCCAAGTTTGATTAATTGATAAGCTCACCTTTGGACCCATGGTGACGGCCACAGTATCAGCCAGCAGGTCGACCCCCTTCAGCATGAGGGCGCGAGCGTCAGCTCCAAACTTCACCTCCTTGGCGTAGGCTCGTGTGAGGTGCGGGGCCAGCGCCCGGCACACAGGCCTCACCTGCTTCATGACTGTTGGTAGACGAAACATCTCTATGGAGAGAAAAAGACAAAGGATGGAGGTAAATAAACAAATCTGCACAATTGTTTTTCTATAATCCTGAAAGTTCACAGAAATCTTGTGTGATGAACATGTGCAGCTAAATAATGATTATCTATGATAGAGGTGTACTCTGCCCCCCGGTGGTCAGCAGTGGAAGAACGTTCCACCCACCAGTGAATCAATGAGATGGAGAAACTCTGTCCCAGGATGACCTTGCACTTACGGCACAGTGGAGGCGTTTTATTCACCGGGTTTCATAAATTGCTCAGGAAATTAATGTCAGGAAATAAGGAAACATGGTTGATCTTTAAAATGATGCAGCAATAATGTAGAGTAAAACTGAAAAAGAGCTAAATACATTTAAATATACTGTAACAACATGTTTGGTGTTTGATTGAAAAGTGCATGAAACCAGTATTAAAAAGCAAAGTCAACCATAAAAACCAAAAAGATTAGAATTAAAAAGAAGAGTTGGATCTGGCAGTTTTTCCCAAAGCCCCTCAGGAAAAACTGCCATCTGGTATCTAAATCACCTCGTTCTCTACCTGACAGACGCTTTTCAGATGAATGGATCTTTCCATTCCAAATAAAAGCAACAACAAACGAATCCAGAGGTTGAGACGAAAGTGTTGCGTCACAGAGATATTAAGAAATCTTAAATGACACGGATGTTATTCAGGCTCCTCTGTTTGTAGAAGTGCTGTTTGGTTGGTTCTAAATAAACGTGGTTCTAACTGGACAGAACCTGTTCAATAGGTAAGTGAAGGTTCAGCTGACAGCAGGGAGCATTAGTCCATTCATTCATTAAAAAGAAAATACACATTGATTGATTAAATGTTTCAGTCATTGCAAAACATTTCACTTTTGATGATGTGAAGATTTCACAGCTTCTGGAAAGTTGTAATTTCTACCGGTCAGTTGATATAATTGTTCATCTATAAAGTTGATCTCTGATTAAATTGTTAATTGAAAGTAAATTATCAAAGTTTTCATAGAAGCAACTAATAGAAAAGACCTGGTTTTAATTACACTACTCACCACACTCGTTTCACCTCGCGAGTAAAAAGAACTTAAGGCTGTAAGTCTCTGGATCTGCTCATAGAAATGAATGATCACAGTAAATACATTTAAACTGATTATTACATTAATCCCCGAACCCACTTCCTAGAGAACCCACGTGCGTTCGTCAGGTCGCGAGTCACAAGGTCAAATTGCAGAAGCACGCGCCTCCTCATCCCTGATCAGATCCCCGAGTGGAATCCTCCGATCAATCATCACCCACGTGCTTTTAAACGAAGGACACTGTGGATGTCACCGGTGGAATTATTAAATATTAATAACAGAGTTGATTCCAAACCGGTCTGCAGCTGCTCGTCGGTCCAAAAACACCACACACCCCGATTCAATGACGTTAAACGTCGCGCTGGCATTTAATTCACACTTTTGAACAGAGACAACCGGACATTTTAACCAACATGTCCTTGTAGCTCGCGATGGAAAAAAATGTCTTCTCCCAGCGGAATTAAAAGCCGATCGTCGTCGTGTCCTCGGGGGACGGCGTGACATGTGCAGAGCTAGCTGAGAGCTAAACCGCGGGGAAGCGGTGCGATGATGTTTTAAAAGCGATGTCGGGACTTACTTCAGGTGTGGAGACGCTGGAGCTGCGACAGGAGTCCGTGATATAACCGACGCAGGGAGGACAGGAGCGTGTGAGACAGACAGGACCGCACATGGTCCAGCACATCCGGGGATTTTACCGGCACGCCCCGCACCATGAATAACAACACTCCCGCTGCGAATGTCTGCGTTTAATCAGCTGTTCACGTCAACCCGCGTCTTTTCACGTGTCCACGTGTCGTTAACACGGTTCCATGTGTGTTTGTTTTGTGCAAACGACATTTTTAAATAGTGTTTAAACCTCATGTTAGTCGGTTTATGCTCGTTCCGGGGCGGCCGCTTCCAGAATTTTCTCGCCTACCATTGGAGGGGACGAAAAGGTCAAAGTTGACATTGTGCAATATTGCTCCAGCTTTAAACGATTAAAAAAGTCAAAAATCCTCAAATGGATGATATTTTCAAACCCGTCTGTGAATGTTTTGATTGATTTCGATGAGATTTAATTGTTTAAATGAGGGTTTTTCACGCTTTCTGCCGGTTTCCGGGTATTTTCAGTCAGGCAGAGAAACGGCCGCCTCGTCCACTGCGCATGCGCGTTCTGGAATCTTCCTCCTCACGTGTGGGACGTGAACCGGCTCAGTGTGACCATCCACGCTCATCACGGAACCCGGCAGCCGCTCCACGAAGACTCTCAGCCCGCGAACACGTCCAGAGAAACATGGTAAGAGACGTTTGAGAAACCGTGACGCTTAGAGGGAAACAAAAGACCCGCATCCGTCCTGCGGCGGGGGCTTAGCGTTAGCGGCTAACGTTAGCTGCCGTTAACGTCCACCGACAAGGTCAAACAGGTGAAACTCACGTTTATCACCGTGTTGAATAAACTGTGGAGACACGGAGGAGACTAAAGGAGAGTATTGGGGGGGGGGGGGGGTTCGGTGTCTGTCACCGGGGATCGAACCGACAACCTCGTGACGAGTGGATCCTGCGGGACCATCCACTGAACATGTGCCGAGAATTAAACTCCTCAGTCGCTGCAGCAAACACATGGAGCAATGAATGAGTGAATGAATGAGTGAATGAATGAATGAATGAGTGAATGAATGAATGAGTGAGTGAGTGAGTGAGTGAAGTGTCCGGACACATCACAGTTAGTATTCTTTTTAAAAATCTCTTGATCTGCAGTAAACATGTTGTCAGGCAGAATTAAAAATGTCCTGCTTGTTGCACACACACGCCTCTTTGCTTGTAAATGTCAGATCTAGAACTGAAATCAGAATCTGCTGATTCATCCGTAAGTCGACCGATTGGCAACTATTGTGGAAATTGACTTATGAATCAGAGTCGTTGATAAAACTGTAATAAATTGGAACAATAATACAGAGAAACCAGTTCTCACGTGGTGTGATGGAGGAAATGTTTGCAGCAAATGGAAGGAAACTAAACTAAACTGTTTTTAATGTTCCATTTTAAAACAGATTGTTTTTCTTTGCTGCCTATAATAAAAGAACTGTCTAATGTGGAGCCCCATTAAAGTTCTACTTGCATAACTGCTCCGTTACGTCTGTGACTGTCAGTTACTTAAAAGTAATGCTGTTTTAGATAATAACCCAACATTAATGAAACCATTGAGCAGCGTTCAGATAATATGTACTGTAATATTAGTACTTTAAATGTATTTTAATGCTGATGCACATAATGGAGGACTCTATCTTGGAACTGAGTTTTCTGCTCTGTGCTATTGCTGCTTTTACAATTTAACAAACCATCGACGTTAATGCTTGATTATATTTGCACAATATCCAGAATAACTTGATCATGATTAAAATAAAGCCGATGAATCATCTTCATAACTGTTTTATGCAACTGGTTCTCCTCAAACCACCTCGTGTAACAAACAGAGAGAAGCTTCTGGAAAACCAGACCGACCGGCCCTGACTGTTATCTAGCGATGGTAACATCCTGAAGGACATTTCATCACAGTTGAGGTCGTTCAAACTGAAATCCTGAGATGCCTCCAGGTTATCAGTCAGCAGGCCTAGTCCTCCCCCTCCGCAGGGTTAAAGGTCACCATGAAGGATAACTGCAGTGACCCCCGCCCTCAGTAAACTGAGACCTACCCCCCCACCTTCCTCCAGCTCCTCCCCAGACGACCTTCAACCAAGGCCACTGCTGCATCTGCTGCTGTTTGAACTGCCGTCAGCTGCTGTTTTAAATCAGATTAAACTGCTCGGTGAAATGTAACTGAATGAAGAAACGTTGTCTTCACACAGGCAGCTTCTACTTTAATGTTTACACACTGACTGTACACTTATCACTCGTCTTTCTTTTCCTCCCTCTTTCACAACAGAGCAGCCACAATTGCTGATTAATCATTTTTGAGTTTTACCCTGATCTGTGGAATCAAGCACATTTTAAGTCAAACTTAAACTTGCTCATTTTTATTGTAGTTGTTTGATTAGTGGATGACTTTAATTGTTTCAGTCGGAACGTTTGTTAATATCTGAATACTTCTGTTAACAGTTGTTAACGATTAACTCAAGAATCTAAGAGCTTCACTCAAGTAGAAGCAGCCATATTGTTGTGGATAAGTACTATGAAGTACTATGTACTGGTACTCAAAAAAGTGATAGTACATGATTATTAACTGGAAATGTACTTAAAATGTGGATGCAACAATCCTGGAAATCACTCGTTTGAGTACAAAATCTCATTTTATTTTTTAAAGCAACTAGTTCCAGTTTTTGTGAAATGAATGTAGTGTTGATTATATCTGTCTTGACTTTAGTTAAGTGAGATTTGTAAGCAGCGTTACACAGACCAGGAGTTAAAGTACTTCAAACTTGTACTTTGGTGGGTTTTGTGTAACAGAGCCAGTATTTAACTCAACACAGCCCCTAGTGGTCACTTTGTGTTGTCACATCAAATCTCTTGCCTCTGGTGTTTCACTGTTGAAGTGTAACTTGATCATCGTCGGCTCATTCCTTCTTTTCTTCCAGGCCTTCAGGAAATTCCTGCCCTTGTTCGACCGGGTGCTGGTGGAGCGCCTCACTGCGGAGACTGTGACGAAGGGCGGCATCATGCTGCCGGAGAAGGCTCAAGGCAAAGTGCTGCAGGCCACCGTCATGGCCGTCGGACCTGGATCTGTCAACCAGGTCATTCTCAGTTTTTATCTTTATCATGTTCAAGTTCTATACACGTGTAGATTTATGTCTTTGTCAAACAGATTTAATAACGACTCTATAGGAATTATTTTATTTAGTAAATACACATATGTAAATATAAATTACAGTATAATATTATTAAGCTCAGTATAATGAACCCCATTTCAACCAGCTGTACTTTTTCTTTTTTCAGAAAGGAGACATTCAGGCCGTCAGTGTGAAGGTTGGAGAGAAAGTTCTCCTACCAGAGTACGGTGGGACTAAAATCGTACTGGAAGACAAGGTACAGTAAAGTTCAAACTGGATCAGTTAGGATTTGTTTCTGTTGTGTCTTCATCCTTGGTTTAATTTGTCGCTTTATAATTCTGTCCTCCAGGACTATTTCCTGTTCCGTGATGCAGACATCCTCGGCAAATACACAGAATGAGTCTGTTTTGCATCAAGTCCCTGTCATCGCCCGGAGAGAAGAAATTCAGTTGCCTCATTTGTGTCTGTCTTTTCCCTTTTTTATGTTATTTCAATTGTAAATAATTCTGATCACATTTTGTTACAATAATAAAGTTGAACTGTCGATCGTTGTCGTCTTGTCTCCTGATTTCATGCTGCTCCTGATAATATTCACTACAGCTGTGTGTATTAAGTTTGTTCTGTAGTTTTTGACTACATCTCAAAACAATGACAAATAAAACTGGACAAACTGATGCAAGAGTTCTTGTTCTTTGTTCAAACAACAGAATGTAAACTAACCGTTAGATCAACAGCTCTACAGAAGCATGTGGACGACCCCTGGACACAGACACCGAACGTTTGTGTCTTTGTGGTAAACTTTATAAATCCAGTGTTGATTTTGATGTCTCTTGAGACGATTTGTGTCCCTGAGCTGATTGTCACATCGATATGAAGTTGATTTTTGACTCCTTTTGTCTTCTAGTCATACATTTTTGTGTCCATGTAGTTGAAGTCTTAATCTATTTTATGGTCTTTTTGTCTAAGTCTTTTTATGAATGTTTTTCTCTGTGCTTCTGTTGGGTCTCCGTCAATTCGACAGTTTTATCTCCGTGGAAATGTTTTTTGTCTGTGGATTTGAGTCATTGTAGACGTGTTGTCTTTTTGTAGATTTGAGTCTCTGTAGATTTTCCTTTTGTAGATTTGAGTCTGTAGTTGATTTGTGGATTTGAGTCTCTGTAGTTGTCTCTTAGTTGATTTGAGTCTCCAGTTGTTGTGGATTTATGTCTTAGTTGATTTGAGTCTTTGGAGTTGTCTCTTAGTTGATTTGTCTCTTAGTTGATTTGAGTCTTTGGAGTTGTCTCTTAGTTGATTTGTCTCTTAGTTGATTTGAGTCTTTGGAGTTGTCTCTTAGTTGATTTGTGTCTTTGAGTCTGTAGTTGTCTCTTAGTTGATCTGAGTCTTTGTAATTGTCTCTTAGTTGATTTGAGTCTCCAGTTTTGTGGATTTGTCTCTTAGTTGATTTTAGTCTGTAGTTGATTTGCTTCTTTGTGGATTTGAGTCTCCAGTTGTTGTGGATTTGTCTCTTAGTTGATTTGTGTCTTTGTCTCTCTGTAGTTGTCTCTCTGTAGTTGTCTCTCTGACCTGTCAATAATGAAAATACCATCGCTACAAGTACACACACTGTACAACACTGGTGTGCAGTATAAGTACACACGAAGTCAAACACTGGTGTGCAGTATAAGTACACAGATGAAGTACAGTACAGTACAGTTACCATGAAGTGAATCATCGACACGACAACAGCGCCACTGACGAACATCCGGGTATTCTGTCGAGATGGTCATGGCGGAGGGTTCTGCAGTTCTCAGGAGGAATCGGCCTGGAACCAAGGCGAAGGTTTGTTTCCAGCCGCCGGAGCTTCTCCGCGTGGTTCCCCGCACGTCGCTCACACAGACGCGGGGACGCTGCTTCACCTGAACCGTGTTTCTGCTCCACACGTCCCCGATCCCCAACTCGGTCCCAGACAAAACACAGGAAGGGCCCGGACCTGGAAGCGTCCGGCCAAGTTAGCACCGTTAGCTGCTCCTCCGTCTAGTTCCTGGAGTCGTGTCGAAGACGAGCCGAGGTTCCGCTTCTTCCCCCCGGAGACCTGTTCGGTTTCGTTGTTGCGAGTTTAATCGAGAAGTAAAACCTTGAAGGATAGAAACGTCCCCAGCACACGAAGCTAGCTATGTTGGTGTTTAGCCGCGTATGCTCGTTAGCTTTACAGGAAGAAGCCGCATCCCGGCTATCGAGCCAGCTAGCGACAAGTTAGCATCTTAGCTGCGAGGGATTGAGAGAAACACAGATTGTCAGATTTGATATAAAAAAAAAAGTTTCCTCGTTAAACTTCTCCAGACAGATTCTTCCACCTCCCTCCATTCACCGTGTTCACGCGTCGCGTAGTGAATTCACACCAGCTTTGATAAACGTCTCTGAAGTTAGCTTCTGATTCCGAAGTGTCACTGACACGAAACTGTTTTTTAAACATTATTCAGACTCTTCCAGGTTCTTTACTTCAGTGGGTTCAAGACAGAAGCTGTGAAATCACCATTTTAATGTGTGATCAAACTTTCTCAATTGACAACCTGTGATTTCATTTGCAGTCAGATTCTCATTCCTCTGGTTTTAAAGTCCAGATCTGAAGAGTCTGGTTTCATCTGCACATGATCTGATGTCTGAGGAACAGGAAGCTTTATCTTGTTTATTGTAGAGATGATGTAGTTTTCTCACAAACGAAATACATCCGAACATGTTTAGCTTTTAACCAGCGTGTCTCAATCAGATGCTCTGTATTTTCATTTTCCCCCTAAATTTCTCCTTATCTGACAAATCAGACACCAACTTTATGTCCATGTGTTTGCTCAGTGATTGTGGGTCAATATTGTGCAACAGCTATGTACTCAGCCTCAGTCCACTTTGTTCTCTTTGCCTGGAGACTAAATTTGTCCTCCCTCCATGTGAAGGACTTCTACAACTGGCCGGATGAATCATTCGAGGAGATGGACAGCACGCTGGCTGTCCAACAGGTGTGTGGCGATGTTGGGTCTTTTTAAAGAATGGCACACCAGTGCAGTCTTTTCATTTGGAGTGGATGTAAAAATCTATAAAGTCACATGCATGAGTCAGCTGCTACATAATCCTTTCTTTCATTTTATCTATATTTATATGATGAGTTTTGATTTGTTGCTGTTTCTATTGCAGAATAGATGAAAAAACAATCTCATCACTAAAAGCACATTAGCTGATGAATACTAATACATGACTCATAAACAACACAGTTAAATGTTAATGTTTAGACTGATAACAGGTTTGAATCTGCACTTTAATACCTGAACATTCCACTCTGTATGTGACTCTTTTGGATTTTTATTTCAGCTTTAGGATAGTTCTACTTCTAAGATAGTTGCAGGGTAGTAACTGTTGTTCCAAAATTGTTAAATTAACTGTTAAAGTAGTCACTAATTAGCTTCTATACTTCTCTACTGTTGATGTATTATTAGATAGACTTAATAAAAAGGGACGGTCCCTGTAGGAGTAATAAGTCTGTCTGCCCCTCTGTTTTCAAGTACGTTACATTTAGGAGATCCTACAGTTAAAAATCTTATGGTGCCTTTAGACATAATGCTAAGCAAATTTTAAAAATATACTAACGATAAAAGAAATTGGTCAGAAGAAGATAGAAGTCAGTAGAGATACATTGCTGTGGCTGAATGAGGGTGTCTACTAATACGTGTTTGATGCCTCTTGTTTCAGTACATCCAGCAGAACATTAGATCAGATTGCTCCAATATCGACAAAATCCTGGAACCTCCAGAGGGTCAGGATGAGGGGGTGTGGAAGTATGAACACCTCAGGTAAGTGGGGGAATAATACATTTTTAGTAAATGTTTTAATATGGTCTCGTTCGCCTGCGTTAGTCAACCCACATTTGAAGAACACGGAGCAGCAGTTGTGGATGTGTAGAAGAAATCAGATATGCCAAATATGAGGAAATTTGCAGGTCTATGGAAGAGATAGATAAGAGAGTGAATGTTCTCAACAAATGTGAAACCCTATTTGCTTTGTGTCACCACCACTCTCTCTCTGTCCCTCCTTTCATTGTTATGTCCTTGTTTGCAGGCAGTTTTGTCTGGAGCTCAATGGACTAGCTGTAAAACTGCAGGTAAATGATCAAACTGAACAAACCTTTGTGCCTGGCATTGTTGTTAAGGAACGAGCAGAGTTAGTTTTTGCTACCTGTGCAGGGAGTGGTTCAGAGGTATGTTGTGTACTCTCAGCTGCAGTGAAGTCTGTCTGTCCTCCTGCAGAGCGAGTGCCACCCAGACACCTGCACCCAGATGACGGCCACAGAGCAGTGGATCTTTTTATGTGCTGCCCACAAGACACCCAAAGAGGTGAGTCGGATTTCTTCGTATCTGCCTCTGTGTACATTTCAAGTAGAAACCGCTCTTACTCACAGTTGTGTGTGTGTGTGTGTGTTTTGTTCTGCTGCATCCATAGTGCCCTGCCATTGATTACACCAGGCACACGCTGGACGGAGCTGCCTGTCTTCTCAATAGCAACAAATACTTCCCCAGCAGGTCAGTCACCTGCAGCTAAGCCGCTGTGAATGATAGAGTATTACATGTCATTGTGATAAGTTGAAAGCTTTGGCTCGTAGTGATGAACCAACAGAGAATAATCAGTTTTAACAGCTCGGTGTCTGATTTGTCGTTCTAGGGTGAGCATCAAAGAGTCATCGGTGGCTAAACTTGGCTCTGTCTGTCGTCGCATCTATAGGATATTCTCTCATGCCTACTTTCACCACCGCCAGATATTTGACAAGTATGAGGTAGGTGTCATTGGAAAAGGCTTCTGTTCGGCTAATAATGAATGCAGTGCTCTTAGGGCGGCTGTGGCTGAGGGAGTGAAACGGTCGTCCTCTAAACAGAAGGTTGGCGGTTCGATCCCAGACTTCCCCGTCTGCATGTTCTTGGGCAAGATACTGAACAGTCATGCATCTGTTGTGTTAAATACGTAAACAACACTTGCTAGCTCTGAATTTTCCGGCCGTTTTGCTGCTGTATTCTCACATGGACAATTTTCTAGGGCCTGGCAGGAAAAGTTTGGAAAATGTCCAAGCAGCTGACTTGGACATTTGTGTTGTCTTTCCCACTGGAAAATGTCGGAAATGTCAGTGCGTGTCTGAAAGCAGCTTTACAGTGTCAACCCAGCAGAATGGTGAAGAATCAGGATGCAGGTTCATAGTTGTGATCTGTGTGTGTGTGTGTGTGTCTGTGCAGAACGAAACGTTCCTGTGTCACCGGTTCACACGCTTCGTAATGAAGTACAACCTGATGTCTAAGGACAACCTGATCGTGCCCATCCTGGAGGAGGAGGTGCAGAACACGTCATCAGCTGGGGAGAGCGAGGCCTGAGATGCAGCTGCTGCCATAAGGGAGATGTGTGAAAACGAAATATCTACACATTACAGAGGAGACGCATTCACACACCTGCATACACGGAACACACACACACACATGAATATATATGTATACACATTACACACACTACAGTGTATTAAGGCTCCTGTCCAGTAACACTGTTCATGTCCCTCCTCCCCCGTCACCTGTGTCTATCTCAAAGGAAGTAAAGTGAAAGAGCGGGAGCAGAGTTCAGTCACGTCTGCAGGACGACATATTTTCTGTTTCACTCTTCGTTCTTTCAGATTCACTCCGTGTCTCTGGATACAGCCCCACTCCTTTTTTCTTTAAACTACTTTAAGCAGCTGGATTTGCAAAAAAACAAAAAAAACCTACGTAACCATGGTGACCTGTATTGTTGACAAAGGCACACACACTGACATCCCCCCCCCCCTCTGTATATAACCCTCCCCCCCTCCTCTTTCTTTTAATTCACTGTCATGTTTTCTGATGGTGCTTCACTTCTTGTGTCTGCTCCTGTTCTGTTCGCTTGTGTTGCCCACCGGCCTGTTTTTGGGGGGTGTCCCATGAAACGGATCTCTAAATTCGCCCGCTCACGTAAAAATGCTTTTAAAACACGATGTAGGTGTGTGGCTTGTGTGGTAGTGAACAAAGAAAAATCTTTATCTCTCTAGCTTCGTACGTGTACTAGCAGTCGGATATTCTTCCTCCTCGGTCTCTGAGGTGACGTCTCGGAGCGTGTAGAAGGCTGTTGGCTAACTCTGATCCTGCTTTGTGACATGCCCCCATTTAAAACCGTGTGAAATGTGCCTGATGCTCTACTTTCCTTGACGCTGCTGCTGTCAGCCGGTTTCTACCGATCTAAACATTTGACGAGTAAATGCCACAAGGAAGTTCTGAACATCGGCGACATTTAAGTATCTGAGCACAACCTCCCGTCTTTTACCCCCTCCCTCATTAAGTTATTTTGTGGGAGGAGTCTTGTCAGTCCAACCCACTTTTTTTTTTTTTAAATGGACTAAAAAATTTTGTTACTGTCGACATTTACATGATGTCTGTTAATAAAAAAGACCTATTATTCAGATCGCTGGTTTTTATATCAATGAGGAAACATCCACACTTTATTTACCTGATGTTTTCGTCTGTTTAGCAGAATTATTATTACCATGAAAACGGTTGAAAGGGCGTGGCTTGGGTCAGAGACGAACCAAAACGTTTTGGTGAATCTTTGAAAAAAATTTGGCATTTTGAAGGGATTAATATTTTGGTGATATTTGGTTTTAATCCTAGAAACAAAGAATTCTGGAAAGAGAGTGAACGAGCTACTTCCTGTTTACACCACATGACACGTGTATGTGAATGGTCATGTGATCTGTTTGCAGGTGTGTGTGCATGGATGTAGATTGAAATTGAAAACATTTGTGTGAATGTGATGACACTGACGTCAAACTGCAGATTGATTAGGACGTAAATGAGTCATTTTAATGAACACTGAGATAATTGAGTTTAAAAAAAATAAAAGAAGCAAAATGTACAAAGTCAACATTAATACTGACATTTATTAAACCTGATGATGAACACATCATATACATATAACCATGGTTACATGAAACCACTTTAAACCTGGGCACTGTGTCACTCACTGGAAAATCTCAAATATACTATAAGTGGACAGAAAATTTAATTATTCTGATTATAAAATAATCATTTAAAAATAAAGCCAAATATTTGCTGTTCAAATAGGAGGAGTCAGTGTTCTGGTCACATCGTTAACATTAACATCTTGAGATTTCTGCAGATTCATCAATGACGACTTATTAGTTTTACTAAACTTCCTCCTGCATCATAATTAGTTCAAACCCAGTTGTGAGGGAAAATGTCTGAAGATATTTTCAACACTGTGTCTTCAAAAAGACAAAAAAAATCGAATGTTTCCCTTTCATAGCATTAGAAGAACAGATCTAACATTTGCTCTCCTGCCATAACGTCATTAATGATGAATGGTTTTAAAAAAACGATTTATTTTTAATGCCCTTCTCCAAATCATCTCTTAATATTTTCCTGGAAAGAAAAACACTTTATAGTAATCGCAGGTAAAGTTGTTCAAGTTGTAGCTCAACTGCTGTCGTCTGAATAAAGACTGAACTTTGTGTTGGTTGAGAAATAACTGGAAACGTATCTACGACTATTATTTGACCTTCTTGTTGTCAACAAGTCCAAAGAAATGACCAAAACCAACAGTAAGTCAGTGCGTTGAGTTAATTCTTCTGTGAAACTGAGCCCACAGGTTCCTGCTGAAGATATAAACCTTTAACAAGACAAGTGTAAAATCTAGTTTTTAAAAAGCACAAAAAATACATCAGTCAGATCAACTCAAAGTTGATTTTGTATAATCGTGGATTGGTCCAACATTGAGTAAAATATAAAATGTTTTCGGTGGGTTTCTCTGAACAGGAAACGTCAGTACCATCTACGCTCTAAAGCAAAAAAGCAGCAGATTAAACAAGGAAAAAAAAAAAACCGTAACACCAACAGCAGCCGAACAAATATTAAATAATACTGTCAAACAAATGCATGAGTGGACATAAACCATTTCCAGAATGATTCAAACAGTCAGATTAAACATGACGAGGGAGTCTAACATCGTCTGGTCGTAGTAACTGTCGGCACCTTCAGACCTCAGCCTGCAAACTGTCAGTACCAAATATTCTGGAGGAGAAGAGCGGAGTCTGACCTGAGGTTGATATGAAGGTGTTGAAACTTCTTCAAGCATAAAACAAAAGCCTTGATGGAGATGAGAAGAACTTTCTCTCTGTTCAATTGAGAAAAAAATGTGTGAAACAAAAAACAAAAAGTACAACAAGTGATATTGTTTAAAAAAAAGGTGAATCCCTCGTTTGTTCACCAGTGTTGATTCCATAACGTGCAGAAATCAGTTTGTGCTTCATAGGTGTGTGTGTGTGTGTGTGTGTGATTCTATGTAAAGTTTCAGATACAGATCCATCTCAACAAAACCTCATGGCTTCAATAAAAACATTTTAAAAAGTGCAGAGCTTTAAAAGTAACACAACGGCTGATGTCTGTGGAGACTTCAAGTCTTTTTTCTCCGTTAGTCCAACACTGTTTGAATCCTGAAGTTAAACTCCTGGAGGAAAAGTTAAATCCGTTTTCCTGCTCACATACACGTGACCTCGGCCTTCCCTTCCTCCTGCTCGAAGCCGTTCTCCTCCAGGTGGGACAGGGCGCTGGGATACCCCCCTCCGAACACGGGAAAGCCGCCGATGCCTCCCGCGGTGGGAGAGAGCTCCTCTGGCGGGACGGCGGCGCTGCTGCTGACCGAGCGGCTCACAGAGCGACTGGACACGTCGCTGCGCGCGGGTAGAGTCTGGACACAGGAGACGCACGTTAGATCACAACTCTGAGGAATCGACAATCTCACCTGGAAATCACTTGAACTCTCGGGACAGATGTTAACGCCTTGTTAGTTCCCTGGTTTACGTCTAAACTCTCCTCTTCTAGATATTTAATTCTTTGTGAACCACTCAGACCAGATTTAGGATTTACACAGACTTTAGTTTTAGGTCTCTTAATAGGAGTGACAGTATTTCTAGCTCGAGGATGTTTTGACTCTGTGACGTGCAGTTTGGATTTTGTCCAGCAGGGCGCAGTGATGCCACATAAAAAACAGCTGTTCCTGGTGACAGACGACTCAAATAATAATCACAGTTTTCACCAAATTCCATTAAACTAATCACACGAAGGTTTTAAACAATTTGTTGGTAGCAGTCTTCTAAATGTTCGGACTCCATATCCCATCATTCCTCTCACCTGGTTCCTCTGTTGTCCGGCTGTCGGACCTCTGACGGGCCTCTGCAGGAACACGACCTGCTTGGTGGCCAGGTTCCCTTCACTGAACACAGAGGGATGTTAACAGCATCCATTCGCAGCAGACCCCGTAAACGATCACCGAGATATATTTTTCCAGAATCATTGCCGCGGACACAGGAAGTCCTGAGCTCACCTGTCGTGTCGGATGATGGGCGTGGGCAGCACACACGTGAGCAGCCAACCGAACTCCGCCAACGTGTGAAGAAGGGGCCCGTAGTCTGTTTTCACATTGGAGCTCTGGAGGAAAACAAACATATAAAGGAGACACCGACAGATGGGTCGAAAGAAGAAGAAGAAGATACAGAAACGTACGTGGAGATAATAAAAAGTTACTGAACTATCGTAGCTGCTTCGAGTCTTTTTTAATTTGATCGTTTTTGTGTCGGTCCCTCTAAAACTCAAACCTAAAGGTGGAGATGTTACACAGAAATACATGTTGTAAAATTTTTAAAACTAATGTATTTGTTTTTGCCACTGGTTTTAAAGGGCTGCAGTGTCAAGGGTTTGGCCAGTAGAGGTCAGCATTTTCAAATTGGTGACGGAGCAGCTCCTCTTCCTCAGTGCTGCACAAAAACATCTGGGAGACCAACACTGCCGTGACGTCATCAGACTCTAGAGATTAATTTCAGTTCGCCTGAATAACGACATCTTTAACCGTCGCTTTAGCACAAAAGAGAAAAGAAACTATGATGATGTGGTTTTTTTTTCGTTATGTGGGTCAACTGACATCGGTCTGTTACTGACCTCGATGACGGTCCACTGCTCGACCACGATGGTGTCGTTGGCGGGAGGAGACGTGCTTCTCTCCTCATAAACAAACAAACCCTCCAGTGATCTGGGCACCGGCTCACCTGAAACACACACACACACACACACACACACACACACACAATTAATTACACAACCTTCATTGTCGGGAAGCGAACACATCACATGTTCTCAGCTCTGAGGAACACGTCGGTGAGAGAATGGAAGTGACGCTGGATTGATAATGACCCAGTTCTTCGAAGGAGATTTGACTGTGTGTGAATGTGGAGCGGGGGGGGGGGGTTTGATTCAACCTCATTTTAGACAAATCTGTGTCAGAGTTAATAATAATAACTCATAAGAGCAGGGGAGGTGCTCCACATCTATCACGATTGGAGAGTGATTCGCCTCCGCCGATCCCTGATCACAGATCAGCTGAGGCGTTGATAGTAGTATTCAGTGACATCACAACCTGGATATTGTTTCACTTTGTCAGTGAAACGTGAATGAAAAACTGTTTTATATTTGTAATCATGCTATTTGATGATGACATCACTTTAAACAGATGATGACGAGCCGCCGCCCTGTACAACGTTCTGACTTCTTCATGACGTCACTGATCACATGACATCAAATGATGGGGGATTAGTTGTGAATGGTGAATTTGTCTGAGACTCACATCTCAGACACAGTGAGTGTGTTGCACAGAAGATGATCGATGGTATTACACCAGGAGGTTTAACTTCCCTCTCAGAGTCTGACATCACATTTCTCAACAGCTGTGCACAGCTGCAGCGTCAGGAGGATTATTAGAGATAAACATGAGACGTAATCGACTGTGACAGCTGATTCTGACTCTCTCTGCAAACATAACGGATCCTCATATCCTTCAGGTTTCTTTTTAAATGAATCAAAATCAGCAGGTTTATGGTTTTAACCCTCAAATATTGATTTTGGCATCAGTCTCAAAGATCCTGCACCAGTCAGGCTCCAGTATGAAAGAGTCAGAGTGTGTGTGTGTGTGTGTGTATATATATATATATATATAATTTCCAGGCCTCTGAGGTCCTCAGATGATCTGCTGAACAGGAAGTGAGGTCACCAAGGTCGGGAAGACGTTTCCAAATATAGACGCAGTGGATAAGAGAAGCACCAACAGGAAGAGACAGATGTTTTTATACGAGCGTGTGTGAATCAGTTTTAATAAGAAAAGATGAAAAATGCAGAGAAAAGAAGGAGAAGAAAGAGTAAAACCTTTTTCTCAAGAGCGAGACACAGACTTCTCTTCAGTGACTCTAAAAATAAAATAAACATTTTTTATAAAAATACAATGAACACGACCAACATCAGACCAACCTCTCGGCGTGTCCCAGTAGACGAAGGAGTCCACCAGCGACCAGCCTTTGCGGTAGTAGGCGGTGGTCAGCTCCAGCCAGTCGGCCTCCAGGGCGCTGACCACCTGACCCTTCCTGGAGACCCGCATGGAGAGCGCCCCCTGGTGGTACTGACAGGCCAGCGAGTCCAGAGGAGCACAGCCTGGAGCCCAGGAGTGGAAGAAGACCAGCAACCTCAAGTCTGGACGGCGAGAGGAGGAGGAAACTTAGACTCAAAGATAAAACGTCAAACACGACGTGATGACGAGCAGCGATGGTCTCACCAGGACTGTAGGTGTTTTCCTCCAGCTCTGCGTCTCCAGGCGGAGTTCGAGGAGGCGAGCGTGGGGGAGAGCGACAGCCCCTCTTCGGACTGTGCACCCGGCCGTTCGTGATCCCGCTCACCTGCTGGAGGACCGAGCCCACGAATCGAACGCCCCCTCGAGCGCTGCTGTTCACCTGCAGGAGAGAAAAACAAACAGTCCATTCTGCTGCCGGTACTTTTACTGAAACTTTATTTAAAGGTTCAGTGTCTGGATTTGGTGACACCTAGAGGTGAAGCTGCAGATTGCAACCAACTACTTAGTGCATTATGTACACAGAGATATTATATATTATATTATTATATATTATATGTCTATAGGCAGGTATGGGTACAAAGTATAAATACTGCATGTGTTATATATATATATATATAAAAATATGAAATCATCACGGTTGCTAGGCAGCGGGAAACATCACTGACCCGGTCGATGAGCGCTCTGACAGTGTCGCCCGTCAGCGAGTCGCCGGGTAAAGGCCACTCCTCCACCTTCAGCACCGGGACACTGTGACACATGGACGCCGTCTGCCTACTGAACACACACACACACACACACACAGTGAGCCTCTCTGTGGCATCGAACATCGAATTATAGAGTTCATAGTTCACTTGTAATCGTCGCTGAGGTTCAGACACAAACATGAATCATTTACAAACTCAGCCGGAGACGAGAAGCAGCTACTGTCAAAGTCATTATACGGAGAGTAAACAAGAGTTTCACAAATTCAATCTGCCTCAGAGAGAATATTGGACTAACGTCGGCATAAAACTTCCAATAATTAATTAATCTAGAATGTCGAATAAAACTAAAATTCAACCAGATAATTAAGTCAGTGAGTCATTTTCTGAACAAACATTCACATAAATAAGAAAATCAGCAGCAGAGACATATTTTAACTGATCAAAATCATGGGACTCTCTCCACAAAGAACTAAGATCACATTCATTAGTTCGTTTTATTCTTTTATTTATTCCTTCTGCTCGTTACTTCTTTTTTTTTAATGTTTTTTCTTCTCTTGTTTCTTCAGTTTGTTGTGAGACACTTTTAGCCACACCCCCTGTATGAAATGTACTTAACAAATAATTATCATGATTATTAATTATCATGGCTGCAATATCTCATCCAGCGATCAGAGACACTTTAACGTCATTGGCTGAGGGACCTCTGTTGTTGGGTTGATTCCAGCCAATAGAAAATCACGAGTCAAAACACGGTGTCCCCCTCCTCTCCAGACGTCTGACCTCCTACTAGAGGTTTACATTAAATATGCAGCTGACTTCATGTATCATTCATCGATTTACTCGACAGTGTGATGGCGTGTGTGTGGGCGCAGTGGGAGGGCGTGTGTCGCACACAGCTCGTGTACAATAATCTGTATCGATCTGTGAATAGGATTTAACCCCGGAACTGACAGGGTGTTGATTATTGTACATCCGCTGAGGGTCAAGTTTAAAGAACCACATGAACATTTTCAGGATCGGGACTCGTGTACCTGGGTCTGGGTCGGGCCAGGATGGCGCGGTACAACAGGCTGAAGGGCATCGAGCGCGTCCGACCCACAGACAGGATGATGGGGTGCAGGGCAGCCAGGACGTAGCCCTGCGTGTAGTACGGCTGCAGGGCCTGAGGCAGCTCGGACAGCGACGACACGTACTGGACCGTCGGACGGCTGCCTGCAGGGACGGAGCGAGGGGTGGAGGGAAAGAGGGACGACAAGGGTGTGAAACAGAGAGTGTTGTTTAGTGCTCATGTGAAATGTGAGAATTCAGTTTTATATCATTTTTTAAAAATCCTCTTCCTCCTTCTCTCAGCAGAAAGATGCACGAGAACAGTTTGATACTCGAAGACTGTTTTAAAATTCATCTGCTGACGGGAGAGAGTTTCTCTGTGGTCACAGTGAAATCACCACGAGTTTGAAGTCAGATGTGAAACTTGTTTTGAACTTGTGCAGAAGCTGAAGTTGCTTCAAACCTAACAAGTTTTATCACAAACTGTGGGAATCTCTTACTTCCTGTGTAATGACTAAAGCACGGACACCGCCGCTAAAGACGTCGCCTGCTTGGTCGGAGAGTTTTAATATCCTGAGTCCGTCGGCTTCAAACACTGATGTCAGGTCTGTCTGAGCTAAAAAAGAAAAGGAGGCATGTTGAGGGAAACACCACATCACCGCTCTCTCTCTTATTTTTAGAGCAGGAGCTGCAGCTGTGGCCTGTGATGTGGGGAGACTGGTTTTCGCTGCAGCTCTCAGACCGGTGCTCACACGTCCCTGTAAGAGGAGCAACGGCCAAATATTCAGTTCGTGATTTTACATTTAGAAACATTTCAGATCGATGTGTTTGTGTTTATCTTGCTGGAGGAACATTTCTACTGCAGAGCAGATAATCATGTGTCATTATCCTGGTTTCACTGAAGTTGTAAGAAGATGCACAGAAAAAAGTTTCTGTTAAATCTATTTGCGTCATCAGTCGTTTCTGCCTGTGTGTCACCCCTGCCCTCACCAGTAGGAGGTGTGAGGAGCTCAGTGGGTTGTTTGTGCGCTGAACGAGACTCGAGCTGTTTGTTTAAAACTCTGTGACCATCAAACTTCCTGTGTCCACAAAGAGTGGCTGTTCACAGAGAGGCTTGGCTGAGTGCCCCGTGCACGCACACGCACACGCACACGCACACACACACACGCACACACACACACACACACACACACACAGACGGAAAGTCCATTTAAAGCATTTCCACTGAGTTGTGCATTTTGGATGGAGCAAGATTAAGAAAGACAAATCAGGAATGAGACTGGGAAGCCCTGTGTGTGTGTGTGTGTGTGTGTGTGTGTGTGTGTGTGTGTGTGTGGCAGCATTCCTCACTACAACCCCCCAACATTCTCACGGACAAACACCCCAGAGATGGCGGCGAACAGCTCACAGCTGAGATCGCTGCCCCCCTGAATGAGCCGCCTGGCTCCATTATGAGACTAAAGACCTGAATGAGACCAGTAAACCAGAGGCCGCACAGACACAGCTCCACTTTACTGGAATTCCTGTGGGTTTAAACCCCAAACTGCACAACGCTCGAGGTGAATTTAAATTTAACACGGGGTTTGCATGTTGCAGCTGGTGGACACGGCGGATGCTTCCGTGTGGACGACTGTGTGGGAATGAGGGATCAACAAGAGATTCAAACAAATCTGAAACCGTTTTCTGGCTCGTGCACGACAGTGGGGGCGTCTGGTCGCAGGTTGAAAGGTGCAACTGATGCTGATCAGGTTACGGGGCCCAGATCTGTTCACATCTCACGAACTCTAAATTAAAAACCACTGAGGGAACGATGAGACCTGTTCAACTCAGTGATTAAGCTTCTGTTAAACCAGAGCTGGAATCCTTCAGATTCTTCAACCAATCGATCGGTCACAGAGAGAAATATCCAAAGCCCCCCCACCCACCCGCCCTCTCTCTAGAAGAGACACACTTTGTGGGTATCTCTTCCCTTAGTGTCTCTTTGTTGTCGTATATTAAGTGTATAAATAATAAAAAGATCCTTTCCTTTAGTTAACCGTGGATCACTAACAGCGGCTCTGATGTTCAACACAACTCAAACCAAAGCTTTTGTTTCAGTCTTTTCTCCTCCCCTGCTTTCAGTCCTCACCCCCTCACCCCCATCCTGCTGCCACTCAGCCTGACCACCCCACACACTCAGGCCTCTGTTCAGAGAGGGAGGGGAAAAAAAAAAAAAAGAGGAGGAGGAGGAAGCGAGGACCAGCAAAGAGGCTAAAAAAGGGGGTTGATGTGGGAACTGGTGGGTGAGGAAGGGGGGAGGGGGGGGGTGAGTCTTTGACGGAGGGCAGGGAGACACAGGGAGGTGACCGAGGAGGGTTCAGAGCCAAACAGGCGACAAGATGGATTTTACGAGTCTGTGAGAGAGAGAGAATTCAAAAAGGTGTGAGGTAGAGAAAGCTGCCTGGCAACAAGGAGGAAAACAAGAGGCTCTGTGACGCTGAAGCTCGACGCAGCAGCGACATGTCGGCGTTTAGCACGAGCACGTATATTCATGCTCACGTCGTATCGTTTAGACCAAAACACACGTTTGAATCCTCACTCAGTGAAACGGAGGGAAAATGGCAGCAAAGCCTCGATCGCCCACAGCTCCTCCAGATCTGAAAGAAACTCTTCCTGCGTCCAGTCTCCTGGTGAAACTGTTTTCTTTTTATTTGATTCTGCAGCAGATTTCACAAACTCATAAATATCATATTTAGTTATATCTTTTATATTAAGATAATTGAATTGTTGCCTGATAAATCAACGTAAATGTTGAAAAAAACGTCTCACAGTGTCAAAGAAAGTAAAAAAAACCCGTCTGGATTCACTCCCGCGTGTTTGTAACCAGTTTGCATCTTGGTGGTTTTGTTTGTGTGCAGACATTTTGCTTCTTTATGTGAAGTTTGTGGCTGTTTTCTATCTTTAATTGGTCTTTTTGCATTTTTTTGGCGTTAATTTAACATCAACAATTCCTGGATCCGCCCCCTGATCCAGATCCACACCAAAATGTATTGAGTTCTTTCCTGACACCACATCCTTTCATCGAAATCCATCCAGTAGTTGTTTTGCGTAATCCTAATCCTCTGTGGCGGATGTAAAAATATTGAAATAGCTGCTTCACGTTTTCCAGTTCATCCCGTGTGGAAGATGAAATCTAGTACAAAACACAGTAATTCATCGAAAATCAGTTTGATGGCTCGATGAAGGTAAAACTCACAACTCCTCTGAGGAGAAGGCGAAACACCAAATGTTCATACAGAGACATTGAACCATGTGTTTGTCTCGGATCATTAGCTCAACATGCATCAGGCGTCATGATGACTGAATGAGATTAATCAGCTTTGTTCTGCCTCGACTTCAAATCTCCTCTAGAATTTAATCATCAAAATACTGAGTTTAATCTGAAATAATCCATTTCCAGATGAGACAGAGATTAGAGGAACCTGAATCATCCCTGGATGTGAGGCCGACGCTCTCCCTTTCTAACCGACATTTCATCTGTCCCTCCCTCGGTTCATCCAGCCTGCGATGAACACACGTCACTTCATGTTACACCAGCTCGTCTCCACCCTTCTCCTCCTGACCTGCCTCTGCTGCGCTCCCTTCACATCCTCCTCTCGTCCTTCACGTCTTTGCATGAACACTGCTCCGAGTGCGGAGCGTCCACCCTCGGGCACTAAAACACTTGCCGAGGGAAGAAACACAAGATTCTGTTGTCGTCTTCCCAGGAACACGCTCCTCCACAGTCCCGCACGGTTTTAATCTGAGGCTGCGTCACCTGAAAAAGCACTGATGCTTCTGTTGACTGGAGTGAAGGAAAGATCAATAACGATAAACGTTTCCCACAGAAACATCCTGTCTCTCCAGCTCAGTGGCCGTGAGCCCACAGGCATCAGCTCTGGAAGTTATTAGCCATTAGCTACTTTGATGTGTTGCCTGTGGCTCCAGGACTCACACCCAGCCTCCGCTCGGACGCAGGGAAATGAGGCCAAGCTGAGAGGGAGCGCTGCTGCTGCTACTGGGCAGAGTGCTGGGATCCATGGGGGGGCTGGAGAGCGTGTGTGTGTGTGTGTGTGTGTGTGTGTGTGTGTGTGAGAGGCAGATGAAAGTGTGTCTCAATGTCAAGGAGAGACGAGGCCACTACAGACCGATGGTGACGCTCTATAAGAGGAGTTATTATTTTCCATTTCTGCTATTTTACATTAAGGTGATC